AATATATATTTTTCAGTCCTTTAAGTTCTATTTTTCCAAATATCTTCAGTCATATTTTGTAGTTTATTGTTCTTTGTTCATATTTTTTCAAACTTGCCTTTTATTCCTTCATTCATATTTTATGTAATTACTTCATAGTCTGTGTCTGGTAATTTCAGTGTTTCACATCCTTTTGAATCTGTTTCTGCAATTTTACGTTCATATTGTTTCTCACTAATGATGTCTTATTATTTCTGGTTATTCTTTTTAATGTGAGCTGTTAATTTTCTTCAGAATTTTATTTATAATCATTCTGTAACACTTAAGATGAAGATAGTTCTTCCAGAGATGATTGACATTTGCTTCTGCCAGATGTCTGGGAGCACTATCAGTTAAAAATGATCAGCTTTAAGATGTTTGGAATCACCCAGGTGGTAAGAATTCAAGTTACACTTTTGAGGGAGAGCTGGATTGTGACTCCAAATTCTCAGATATGATTTTGTTTTTTCCCGTCCACTACCTGACAAGGTTTAAGACAGTTAAATTTTCTTTGTAGAGAGCGGTGTGCATGGTAGTAAGGGGCAAGTTTATTTCTAGCACATCTCTACACTGAAGGAATAATCCTTGGAACCACAGCCATGCGTGTGTGTGTGCATGTGTGTGTGTGTGCATGTAGGGCAGGTCTTAGTCTTACAAGACTAAGACTGACCTGAATATTGCACATGGATTTAAAGCAGTTAGCACGTCACATCTGCTCCCACGTCAATGGCCAGGGCAAGTCACATGACCAAGAGTAATGACGCAATTGAGCACAGTATTCAAATTTGTGTTGAATGCACCTTATTTATATCTGAGGTTGTTTTCAATCTTAACTTTCAAGAGAAATCCTCATTAGTAACTTTGGCAACATAAGCATCTCCATGAATTCTCATGAGGCTTAAGAAAAGAAAAAACCTCAAGCCAAATCTCTCATTCTAGGTCAGGGTTGAAATACATTCTGTGGGAAAGATTATCCTGACTGCCAGTGCTTATACTTAGAAATGAATAATTTCATTTGGGAAAAAACCCTTCTCATTCTTAGAAATGAATAATTAAATACTAGGCAAAAGAGATGAATTTTTATTGGAGTTAAAATTGAATAGTTAGCCCTGACCAGTATGCCTCAGTTGGTTGAGCATTGTCCTGCAAAGCAAAAGGTTGCTGGTTAGATTCCCTGTCAGGGCACATGCCTGTTTTGCAGGTTCGGTTTCTGGTCTGTGTGAGAAGGCAACTGATCAATTTTTCTCTGTCTCTTTCTCCCTCCCTTCCCGTCTCCATAAAATAAATATGTAAATAAGTATTTTTAAAAATTGGATATTTAAATTTTTTTATTGTAAACTATTATTCTTTTTTAAAAATATTTTATTTGTTTATTTTTAGAGAGAGGGAAAGGGAGGGAGAAAGAAGAGAAACATAAATGTGTGGCTGCCTCTCATGTGCCCCCTGCTGGGGGCCTGCAACCCAGGCATGTGCCCTGTCTGGGAATTGAACCAGTGACCCTTTGATACACAGGCTTGCACTCAAACCACTAAGCCACATCAGCCAGAGCTAAAATGTTATTCTTAAAATCACTTTAGCAGTAACAAATTGGTGAGGTATTTCCTAACATAGCAAATGGGTGTTATCTCAGTTACAGCACAGAATCACACATTATAGTTTCTCTTCATATTGTGATTACATTGAAAATACTAGATTGAATGATCATTTTCTGGAACCATGGAATATTAGATTTGAAAGTATCTGAAAAGCATATATTTTTCAACTATAATGTATTGACACATTATTTTGTGGCCATCAGTTGTGAGGTATGTCAAAATTGACTAAAATCATGTCAAAATCATTAGTTATTCATGATAAGAAACTATTGTAAGCAATAGTTAAAACACAGAAGATTGTGAAAGATATACTTACATATATTTCCCTATAACATCTTTGCTTTCACGTACTTGCATTCCAATTTTTTGAGTGTGGTGAAAGGAGTTGCAGCTATTTTGACAGGAATTTGAATAATCCTATGTATACCATGATGATTTGTTGCAAATGTGAACATCATCAATTGGAGAAAAAGGTTGAGTATTGTGGGCAACTTTTCTTGCAAGTCCCCTTGTCTGCACGGATGAAAGTAATCTACCAGACATGATCTGCTTGGGGAGGAGAGGTGGCCAGTCTCTCAGAGGAGAAAGACCAAGAGCCTTTTCCTCAATGGGCTTTTATTGAGTTCATTTTGCACAAGAACACAGGTAAGGATCAAACAATAGATAGCATTCAAAGAACTATGAGGGCTTATTCTCAGTCAGGGTCAGATAGCTAAAGAGCCATAAAACTTTAAGGAACAAACTTCTTGCTTGGACCCTTATCATTTAAATGAGAGCATTCTTAAACAAAACAAGTTTCACAGGATTTTACACATTCTTTCTTAGGCCTGATCACCCAGAATCCACTCTAGCCAGCAAAAGAGCTGCACCACCTTCCTTATCATTAGGCTTAAGTGGACTAGAGCCAGGAAGCGATTCTCCCAGACAGAAATGGGGACTCAGGCTATGTCAGAATAGCCAGGGGGAGAGGGTCCATCACTCTCTCTTTCTTGCAGCACCCCCCGCTGCCATTCCTTCCTTGATGGCCTCCCAAGGGATTGTGTTTGGCTTAGGCTGCCCCTCCTCTGAGGGGTCTCACCTGTCTTTAACCTACTGTCCAGGCGTTGGGAGCAGGGGATGAAGCAGAAGCAGCACTGCTGCCAGAGACAAGCTTTGTCTCCTCGTGGCTCGCATTCCGAAGTTTGCGCACTCAGCCTTAGCCATGGGGAGCAGTTACAAGTCCTGAAACCAGGCAGAGTGGTTCCCAACAGAGTATTATTCCTTAAAAGCATGAAGTTCAAGGGAAAAAAAAGAACTTGAAATACAGTAAATAATTTATCTAGTCATACATCTAACGAGCTAAATCTATAATCTAGACCTCCTTGCTTCCAGTACAGTACTTTCCATTACAATAAATTGCCATTCATTTTCAACAGCCAATATAAGAATGTGGGGTTAAGGCAGGTGAGGATTAGACAAGACTTTGCCTCCTATTTCTAATCTTCTGTCTCAGTAACAAGGGAAAGGAAAAGTACCAGAAAACAGTGCCCAGATGGTGGTATATTTCATGTTATCTATGCTCTAGGAACATTCTTTATCAAATTTATTTGATTGCAACTTGCAATAGGAAATACAGTTTAAATCACAACACACTCTTCCCTTCCCTAAGACAAAAGTTCCATAAAGCAATACTTGACCTTAGTAGATATACACATTATTTTATACACTATTCTATTCCATTGAAAAATAAAATTGTCTTGGCTGGATAGCTCAGTTGGTTAGAGCATTGTCCTGATGTGTTAAGGCTATGGGCTAGATCCCCCCATCAGGGCACATGCAAGAATCAAAGGAATTCATAAATAAGTGGAGCAACAATTAGGTTGCTCCCCGCCCCCTCTCTCTCTAAAATCAATACATTTTAAAAAATAAAATTGACTTTTGTGTCAGTTTGAAACAAAACTGCCCTGGAAAATAGGTTTCAGTCTGTTGACAAACTGCAAAGTTACTAGCTTGGCTGAAATAATGACATTCACAGAATAATAAACTTCCCTCATATTCATTTGAACCACAAGTACAATCTCTCAGACTTCCAGAGTTTATAGAATCTTTTCTTCATTGGAACACCAATTCGTCACAATATCTCATAGATTCTAAGACTTATTTTCACATTTTAACATCTCTAAATTCAAGATGGGTCGTTTAAAAATCAATGGCATGGCGTAGTTTAATTGATCGTATTTTTCATTCTTGGGTAACATGAAATAATGGTTAGTCTTAAACTCCATTTTTTCCTAACAGTTTCATTGACATACATTAAAAATAAGGATTATATAGGCCAAATTCTATTGCTTATTCATTTCAAAGTATCCAGGTAATCAGAAAATTTTTTGACATCTTGTTGAGAAAGTGTAGTGAAATGAAAACTGCCTAAGAAAAAAGCCTTGGTTATGGCCTGGAAAGAACCATGATACAAACGGAGTTTAATATTACAGAAAACTTTCTCATGTGTGTTCTCGTTAGGGTTTGATCACGAACTTTCTGCTTGCCTACTTTATTTCTGTTTTGTTACTTTCTTTAGCATTTTACTTGTTTCCTCTCATCAACAGGGTTCAGGGGCACAGTTGCTCCAAAAATGGTTTTAAAAAAAGGCAAAAGATTATATCAAAAATTAAGGTACTTAAATCAAGAATTAACATTTATTATAAAAATGGGACGGACTGCTAAATTTCAAACTGCCACCAACCTAGCACATTGTAGAACTTAATGCTGGCACGAAGGATCCTGAAACAAGACTAGGAACAACAACAAAAAGGTTTGCAAGGGCTATTTTCATCCTAGTCTAGTTGAACTATACCATCCTTTCCTTAAAAATAAAAATCCCTAAAGAAAAAAGTAAATTAAATGACATAATTAAAATGCTACTAGAAACTGGAACAAGCAGTGACAGATTTTCAAGCGAGACACCATGAGACTTTTTTTCCCCCTTTGTTTGGTTAGAACTTGAGCCAAGCCCTAGGGTGGGGAGGCGGGTCTCTCGGTCCGGCCTCAGAAGAGCGTGGGCTCCGGAGCCCTGCGAGGGAAGCTCTACCGTGTAGTCTCCTCCGATTGGGCAGGAGCCTGTACGACCGGTCCGGAAAGCCTGGCCTTAGCACGTCTCCGGGCTCGCATCCCGCGGCTGCTCTCGGTTGTGCGGAAGCTCCTCCATGGCGATAAGCCTAGCAGAACAAGGTGCTGCCAGTCGCTTGGGCGGGGTTGCCACCGACCTGGCAGGAGAAGCCGGTGGGCTGTCACCTCCGCGCCGGGTCACGTGACGAGAAGGGGTGTGGCCAGATCCCGCGCTCCGTGGGGCGGGACGGGAGGGGGAGGGCGCTTGACTGTGAAGGCTCGCCAAGGCTCTGGATGCCCAGAGAGGCGGTGACTAGAGCGATGACAACATTAGGCTGCGACGTGCTCCGGGCCAGGCGGTAGTGGTAGCGGCGACCCGAACGGCTGCAGTCTTCGCTTTCGCTGCGGCAGCCGCCGCCACTGGTACCCGCAGACGGAGGGACGGTGGGGGCCTGCCCCGGCCGGTGGACTGCGGGGCCGGAATTTTCGTCCCCCTGGAGGGTCTAGCCTGCAGCGCCTCCGCTGCGGTGAGACAAAGCCCTCAGGGCTCTCTTCCCTCCTGCCGCCGGCGACAGCGGCCGAGAGAAGTTGAAGTCGGACCGGACGTGTGCGGGGGCCCCAGGAAAAACGGACCCCGGAGCCCAGCCAATCCGGGGGCTCCGCATCGGTGAGTGTCGCGTGCGTTTCTGAGTTAGGGGGCGGTGGGTTCGCACCCTACGGCGACTGCACCTCCGTGCCCTCACCTTCTGAGCCTGGGCCGGTGGGGACTCCGGGCACTCCGCGCCGAGGAGTTTCTCTCTGGCTCCTTTGTCCCCTTTTGTAGTGGGGTATTCCGGAGGCTGGCGGCGGTGGAGTGTTTTGGGGCCCACCCAGTGCGCCTGCAGCCATACAAAGCCGCGGCAGGGGCTGGGGGGAGGTAGAAGCATTTTAGCATCCCCGAAGCCTGCCTCCTCCCGAAGTTTGGGCGGACAGCCGGGTCTCGCCGGGATCCCCCGCGCCCTGGGGAGCTGGCGCTGTCACTTTGTTGCGGTTAAGGCGAGGCTCCGGTTTTTCTGTGACGGCCCGGGTGGAGGCTGTGCCGCGCGCCGCAGACTGCACCCGCCCTTGCAGGGCTGGATGACACGGTGTTGTTCCTCTGAACCTCGGCATCTGTGGCCTTCCTGTAACATAAGAGAAGCGCGAAGCCTGTGCTGTACTTTTAATTTAAAGTTTGTTTCAAAGCCCATTCTCAAAAGTGGAATCAGGTTGCAAGGAGCTTCACATACGGAGTGTGCTTTTGGTTCATTGAGACACCCACTCAGGACCGGCTGAGGCGATGCAACTGTATATGCATGTTTTCCATTCACAAAAGTCATTTAACACTTTTCTGGAGACATCTGCGCTGGGGAACACACTTTCATTTTATCTAGATGCTGTGTGAAATAATAGGTGGTGTAACTTGGGTTCCTACTTAAACTTATCTAACTGATAGTATAAGCATATTTGATTAAATACATAATTTAATGGAGCTTTTGCCTTTCTGATGCTGGAAGACTAAAATGACATCTGAGTAATACTAGACTGCCCTGTGTATGGTAGTGTTGTTAACTTCCTTTGAAACTTAGCTTCAAATTAGTGCCTCCTAGACCTTTTAAAATAACCATTTTAAACCATTTTTTGACTTTTTAGGATTCTAAGGAGAGCAAGGATTGTGGAGGAACATGGGTGAATTGCTTGTTAGGGTTTCTGTATCCCATCAGGCATCGAAACTGATCACACTGAGAGACTATGGTCAATTTCTGTGCTTGCAGAACTTGTTTTGCAATGAAATTATTAACATCATGCTAGTTTTGCAAAACAGGTTGGGGAAGGAAGAATAAGGGTATGCAGTCTGTCCTCTATTGAAAGTATGACTAATTTCAAATATTCGTTACCTCTTTTTTTTTTTTAAACAACTATGTATGGAATGACTACAATGTGCTTGTTAAGAGTACTGGGAAAGGGACCAGATGAAACATAAGAACTACCCTTTAGGTCTTCAATTATGCAGATTAAGTCTTTGTGGTCAGATTCCACGTGAACAGTTTGACCTGCAATACATTGTACACAAGTGCTTAGAAAGGCCTGTTTAATTAAAAATGGCCATGGTTTATTTCTGCTATTGAATACTGAATATTGAATATTATTGTGTCTGTGATGTGTGAAATTATTTTTTTCATTTATAATGTTATTCCATTTTAGAGGCAATCAAATATGTTTCTTTGAACACATTTATGCACTTAGAAATTTGGCAATATCTAGTTTTTTGGCTAATTTTGAACCTTGAGGTATACTTTGGGGAGAAATATACAGTTCTAAAGAAAACTAATAACATGTGTTTAATCCATGAAAAAATAAGAAATATGTAATTATGGGTAATGTGGTTATGTTTTAATTTGAGAAAAATAAAATTATGAATTTACAAAATCTTCATTACAAAAGGGTCTTTATTAAAGAACAGATTGCAGAATTTCTTCAACTAGTGAATGCTCTTAGTACATTTAAATTTGGTTTGTTTATAAATAATCCTCCAAGAGCAGATTACTTGTATTGAAACATGAAAGACAGAATAAAGAATTGATACTTAATGTAGTTTTCTAATATTATTTTGGAAAATTCTTTCCTAATAGCAACACCTGAGGTATTATATTTTCACATTTATATTATACTATTTAAAGCCAAACACATTTGTAGCAATGATCTCCAGGCATCAGGAGAGTCAAAATAGAAGACCATAGGCTCTCCTTTATTCTTAGGAATATGACCTACAAATATTACATAAATACAAGTTACATAAAAAACTCTCTGAGTAAGTACTTCATTAATGAAGGTGGCTGTGTGCAAGGAGATTGATGGAGGTGCTTGATTGTGGCAGTTGTGGCTGAAGTATAGTTTTATCATAGATGGGACACGGAAAGAGACGTCTGGACTCATGCGTAAAGATTTCATGTCAGTATGTGGGAAACCCCTGCGAGATTTTAGATCTTTCCTTCCTTCCATCTTGGTCCCTCACCTCCTCTTATATCTTCTGAAAGGCGTGAGGTTGAGGGTCTCACCTGGAAGACATGATAGAAGGGATTTTTTCTCCCTAAAAAATGTTGTCAAGTTTGCAGGCTTTCTTCTGAGACCTTGTAGGAAAGGAGTCCTTGTCCTGGAATATCACATCCTTACCCTCTGTGTTATTTTTACCTTTGTTAAAGTTGCAAGCAATGTAATCTGTCCACGATAACAAGGACCTTGTCTAGTTTGCTTACCATTGACCCTGAAAATTCTTAATAGTCATTGAAAGAAAAAATGTATTTCCAGACATATGACTGGAAAACAAAGAGGTATATGTGATAATGTAGTCCAAAGTAGATACCGTATAAGCAGTGAGGTGATAAAGAAGGATATTGGCTTAGGAGGAGGGGAACAGGTCACTTAATCAGGGAAACTTTCTTGGAGGAGGTGGTTCCTGAGTTCAGTCTTGCAGAAATGGTTATATCTGAAGGTACGTAAGTTTTCTCAGGCAGTAGAGAGCATGAACAAAAGCATTTAAACTTGGTAGTCACATCAGATTAAGTAGAGCGAGTTATTTTTGGTAATATGAAGAATGTTTCTTCTCTCACAACTGTTGCCTCTCCCAAAGAAGTAGGTTGGCACACCTTAAAAGAGCTGTGATTTAGAGTAGTTGAGTTTGAAAGTGACAGTGATACAGTGAAAGCAAGAGAATTGAACTGGGGATCAGAAAATTCGAATTGGATTTCTAATTACATCTTATATGAGCAAGTGTCCTTGGGCAAAAAACTGGGCCTTAGTTTTCTCATTTGTAAAAGGAGGATAATAATCCTTATCCCATATGCTTGTTGGGAGAATGAAATTACATAATGTATATGAAAGTGCCTACCGCAATATCTAACACATAGGAGAAAGCAACAATCATGAAATTATTTAAAATATTTCTTTGTCTTTAGATTTTTAAGAATTATTTTGGTGTATTTATCAAGAAATTCAATGTGTACTTGAATTTTGAGTTGACCCACATATTACCATGTTTCAAAATTTTGGATGCTTAGTTTTCTTTCAATCAAGCATATGTTTTCTAATAGAAAGGAGGCTTGTGTCCTTAATATTAACACAACGAATGGTAGACCCCTCAGATTTTTAAAGCATCAAGTAAGGGATATGTATGGATAAAAATCTGAGCCTTTTAGGTTTTTCTTCTCTACAGAATTGGTTTTCGAAGAAATTGCTTTTGTCTGTCATGCCATCTATCTATTCATTGTTGTAAAGAAATGGGATTTTCCTGCTATTAAGAAGAAAAGTTACCAAAAAAAGTCCTCTATATTTTCTAGTGATCTGATGGTAAACTGAAGGATCTCTACCTATTGTCCTTTATTTTAGAACTCATTTTTTTATTTTGAAATCTCACTTTTATTTTTAAAAACTGTGCAGGTTTTCATTTACTCTTTAAATTTTTAAAAAATTATTTATGTTTGAATACAGTTGTCTCCATTTTGCCACCACCACTTTTCCCTGCCCCACCCACCCCCCTCCTCCCACCCTCCTCCCACCCTCAATCATCCCCCACATTATCCTTGTCCATGGGTCCTTTGTACATGTTTCTTGACAACCCTTTTCCTTCTTTTCCTTTTAATTTCCCTCTCCTCTCCCCTCTGGTTACTGTCAGTTTAGTCTTAATTTCAGTGTCTTTGGTTATTCAGTTTAGTCTTAATTTCAGTGTCTTTGGTTATATTTTGCTTGCTTGTTTGTTCTGTTGATTAGGTTCCACTTATTGGTGAGATCATATGGTATTCGTGTTTCACCGCCTAGCTTACTTCATTTAGCATAATGCTGTTCAGTTCCATTCATGCTGTCTCAAAGGGTAGGAACTTCTTTCTTTCTGCTGGCTAGTGTTCCATTGTGTAAATGTACCATAGATTTATTTTTTAAAGTATTTTATTTGTTTATTTTTAGAGAGAGGGGAAGGGAAGGAGAAAGAGTGGGAGAGAAACATGGATGTGTGGTTGCCTCTCATGTGTCCCCTTCTGGGGACCTGGCCTGCAACCCAGGCATGTGCCCTGACTGGGAATCGAACCGGCAACCCTTTGCTTCACAGGCTGGTGCTCAATCCACTGAGCTACACCAGCCAGCCAGGGTTGTACCATAGTTTTTTGATCCTCTCATTTACTGATGGGCACCTAGGCTGCTTCCAGCACTTGGCTATTGTAAATTGTGTTGCTGTGAACATTGGGATGCATAGATTCTTTTGAATTGCTGTTTCAGGATTCTTAGGGTATAATCCCAGCAGTGGAATTGTCAGGTCAAACAGCAGTCCATTTTTAGTTTTTTGAGGAAATTCTATACTGTTTTCCACTGTGGTTGTACCAGTCTGCATTCACACCAACAGTGTATTAGGTTCCCTTTTCTCCACAACCTCACCAGCACTTGTTTGTTGATTTGTTTACAATGGCCATTCTGACTAGTGTGAAGTGGTATCTCATTGTGGTTTTAATTTGCATCTCCCTGATGGCTAGTGATGCTGAGTATCCTTTCATATGTCTCTAAGCCCTCGGTATGTCCTCCTTGGAGAAGTATCTGTTCAGGCCCTTTGCCCAGTTTTTAATTGGATTGTTTGTCTTCCTGAAGTGGAGTCATGTAAAAAACTCA